ATGTAGGAGACACACTACTACTGTGTGAAACCTTGTTTCTATATGGGGACACGAGTAAAATGATACAATATTTATATCTGAGAGACGTCTCCTTAGGTGTGGACATTATTGTTTGAAGCGTTTTTATGTAGGAGACACACTACTACTGTGTGAAACCTTGTTTCTATATGGGGACACGAGTAGAGTCTAACAGTGTTTATATCTGAGAGAAATCTGCCTTAGGTGTGGACATTACTGATTGAAACGTTTCTATCTAGGGAACACACAACTGTGTGAAACCTTGTTTCTATATGGGGACACGAGTAGAGTCTAACAGTGTTTATATCTGAGAGAAATCTGCCTTAGGTGTGGACATTACTGATTGAAACGTTTCTATCTAGGGAACACACAACTGTGTGAAACCTTGTTTCTATATGGGGACACGAGTCGAGTCTAATAGTGTTTATATCCTAGAGACACACTATTGTTTGAAACGTTTCTATATAAGGGACTCGCTACTGTGTGAACCATTTGTTTCTGTGTGAGGAGAACGAGTCGAGCGAAGCAGTGTTTATATCTGACAGACACCAACCTCTACTACACATTATTGTGTGAAAAGTTTCTATGTAGGGAACAAGTACCTGTATTAACAGCTTCACACAGTCTAACCTGCCGTAGACAGCTGCCTCATGTAAAGCTGTCCCTCTCAACGTTGATCTGTTGATATCAGCTCCTGCCTGAAGTAGTAAGCTGTGGAAAAGAGGAAAACAAACTTAGATCACGTGATAGTATTTAAGCACCGTTTTAGAGTGAAAATAACTGAACGACGAGAATTTTTTTTATCAAATCCCTGCACGTGTAAAGAAGAAAAAAAACAATGTTTCGATACGTTTTTCAATTGTTCTTACATAACTTATGACTTCATGACTAGTAAAATCCCATATTTTCTAACTTCTTATATTAACTCAAATATGAAACTTATTACTGTTTGTCAACTTCCAGCCAGTTGGAGCAAAAGCTAAATTAAGAACCATATCTTACAAAATACTTACACTATCGTATCAGGCCTACCTGGAAATTAGAATTGAAGGTCAACGCGTTTTTAATGTTTTGTGGACACGACGTTCCTAGAATACACAACTTAATGTGTGTAATCTTTGTTTTGTGGACACGACGTTCCTAGAATACACAACTTAATATGTGCAAAGATTACTTACATTAAGTTGTATATTGTAAGAACGTCGTGTCCACAAACAAAGATTATTTTGTGGACACGACGTTCCTACAATACAACTTAATGCAAGTAATCTTTGTTTTGTGGACACGACGTTCCTACAATACAACTTAATGCAAGTAATCTTTGTTTCGTGGACACGACGTTCCTACAATACAACTTAATGTAAGTAATCTTTGTTTTGTGGACACGACATTTCTACAATACAACTTAATGCAAGTAATCTTTGTTTCGTGGACACGACATTCCTACAATACACAACTTAATCTAAGTAATCTTTGTTTCGTGGGCACGACGTTCCTACAATACAACTTAATCTAAGTAATCTTGCTAAGATAAAAAACTGTGTAGGAATTTGGTACTTCAGTTGTAATTTTTCCTCTAACTATATATGTTTGTGTTGCTTGTGACTAAAGAGCAATGCCCAAATGCCGTCTACAATTAATCTGTACAGTTTATGACTAAAGAGCAATGCCAAAATGCCGTCTACAATTAATATGTACAGTTTATGACTAAAGAGTAATGCCCAAATGCCGTCTACAATTAATATGTACAGTTTATGACTAAAGAGCAATGCCGAAATGCCGTCTACAATTAATATGTACAGTTTATGACTAAAGAGTAATGCCCAAATGCCGTCTACAATTAATATGTACAGTTTATGACTAAAGAGCAATGCCGAAATGCCGTCTACAATTAATCGGTACAGTTTATGACTAAAGAGCAATGCCCAAATGCCGTCTACAATTAATCTGTACAGTTTATGACAAAAGAGCAACGCCCAAATGCCGTCTACAATTAATCTGTACAGTTTATGACTAAAGAGCAATGCCCAATTGCCGTCTACAATTAATCTGTACAGTTTATGACTAAATAGCAATGCCCAAATGCCGTCTACAATTAATGTGTAGAGTTTATGACTAAAGAGCAATGCCCAAGTGCCACCTACAACTAATCCGTACAGCTTGTGACTAAAGAGTAATGCCGAAATGCCGTGTACAACTAATTTGTTTGTACATCTTGTAACTAAAGATCGCCTCCATTGTAATGATACAATTCAAGGTTTGATTCCTGTAGTAGTCACAACTCGAACAGCTCACTGTGTAACTTTTAGGTGATGCAGACATCTTTCTTCGTCTGTATCGATCTCTAATCAGAACTTACTTGTATAGACTTTAATTAATTATCACTGGTTTGTATCAATGCAAATTAATTGGCAGTTGATGACACAGGGCTCGAATAACTGAATTACTAAAAAGTTATATTTATTCTAATTAATGAGAAACAGTGTTCATATCTCCCAGTCGCTCTAATGTCTCCGTGAATATTGAGGGGAATTAGCCTTGTTCGGTATTTATTTTAAAACTTGAGAGTTTAATAAACGAAATCCAATTTTACATAATTGCAGAGTTAACACTAGATCTATGGTCTCAAATCAAACGATTTTTATTGTGCAAATAAAAAAAACTGTTGTTGTTTTTAATTGTATTTATTTAATATTTTGCACAAGTGTCTAAGAAGGGTTTTACTTTATCTTCATATTTCATACGATTTTTATCACTAGTTATCACTAATAATTTGAATCGGTAATGAATTGTATCAGTAAAATAAACACCTAAAAATAACATTCATTACAGAAGATGTTTCTGGAAGTAAGAAAGAAACTAGTTTTCGTCTCATTTAAGACTCTGATAAAACAAACATAAAGCATAAGGTAGAACAGAAACTAGTTGTTGTTGTTCACTTAAGACTCTGATAAAACAAACATAAAGCATAAGGTAGAACAGAAACTAGTTGTTGTTGTTTTCACTTAAGACTCTGATAAAACAAACATAAAGCATAAGGTAGAACAGAAACTAGTTGTTGTGTTCACTTTAAACTCTGATAAAACAAACATAAAGCATAAGGTAGAACAGAAACTAGCTGTTGTGTTCACTTTAAACTCTGATAAAACAAACATAAAGCATAAGGTAGAACAGAAACTAGCTGTTGTATTCACTTTAGACTCTGATAAAACAAACATAAAGCATAAGGTAGAACAGAAACTAGTTGTTGTTGTTTTTACTTAAAACTCTGATAAAACAAACATACAGCATAAAGTAGGACAGAAACTAGTTGTTGTTGTTTTTACTTAAGACTCCGTTAAAACAAACATAAAGCATAAGGTAGAACAGAAACTAGTTGTTGTTGTTTTCACTTAAAACTCTGATAAAACAAACATACAGCATAAAGTAGGACAGAAACTAGTTGTTGTTGTTTTTACTTAGGACTCTGATAAAACAAACATAAAGTATAAAGTGGGACAAAAACTAGTTGTTGCTGTTTTATTTAAAGCTTAGACAACACTGTACGGATCTAAATAGAACAGCATTCATATTTGTATATAAGTGTTAAAGATTTATTTTATTTTTCACCAGAGGTGAACTTGAAAAAAGAATCTATTATTCACGTACCTAAATTAATTTAGTTTACTATATGGTGAAATAAAACAGACTTAAAACCTCAAAGATAGTAATCTTATTTATATCTCTCAGTCCTGACAGATCAATTTTGATTTGTAATTATTTTTAAACAACAGAGCTACGGGTACATACATCCATGTTAAAAATAACGTTTATATTAATTACTTGATTTTTTTTCTACGTTTCTTTACCGTTTAAAGACTCTATAAACACGTGATCTAGAATTAACCAATCGATTTCAGTAACTAATCAAATAACCAGTTACACTACCTATTTTTTGCAAGTAGCTTGCGTTATTATTCTTGCTGTAGATTGTTTGTTTGTTTTGGAATTTCGCGCAAAGCTACACGAGGGCTATCTGCGCTAGCCGTCCCTAATTTAGCAGTGTAAGACTAGAGGGAGGGCAGCTAGTCATCACCACCCACCGCCAACTCTTTGGTTATAATGTGACGGTCAATCCCACTATTCGTTGGTAAAAGAGTAGTGCCCCCACGGCTGAAAGGGCGAGCATGTTTGGTGTGACGGGGATTCGAACCCGCGACCCTCTGATTGCCAGTCGAGCGCCCTAACCACCTGGCCATGCCAGGCCTTCTTTCTACTGTGACTCCCTTAACAGTTCAACTTCATCATCTTACGATTCATATTTCATTTATACATACATCCAAAATTCTTGCTTTATCTTAGTTTCATTGTTAGTCATGGTAACCAATACGCCAGTGACGGACTTGTTTAAGCTTTCTTAGGGACGTAGCCTGATTGCAGGGTAATAGAATAGAGCATTACTTCAATATCTCCTGGTTGATAGACGTTGATGTCTGTTCTGGTTTGGTCACATAGGCAGATATAGAAATTAATATACGAGGATTCCACCTTTTGATATCCATTGGTCCTCCAAGGATGTAATTGTTTTTGATTGATTTTGTAACTATCTACTGCTTTGGCCGTGGTAGTTTGAGTCATCTGTGAATATGTTATTCACTCTTCTTGTCCTAAATATCATACTAAGGAGTTTTATTCTTAGAGAGTCTCGTACTAAGGCAGCCAGTCGGTGTTTGTTTTAGACCAAAGTTATAGGGGAACTGTTATTTTAAATTTCTACTTCCAGTTTTATGTAATCGATTCTGTCTGATCATATATGATAATCTGTCAAATCCACTTATGGTTATACTCCCTGTTTAATTGTGCAATTGGTCAAAACAAATCTATTTTAGATTTTACCTTGTTCACGGTTACTAATGAGGAGTGGAATTATACAAAACCGGTATAACTCAGATTCCTATACTATTGATTTACACTGTATATATAACGTAAGGCATGTGCAAATATTGCCCAATTGACAGTCAGGATATCCCTGTGGATTAATTCATTATGGGTCTGACAAGTAAGCCTATGTTACATCACTTAGGCATTTTGGCATTAAATATATATGTGTTGGTAGTGATTTCTTCAAGCGAATCCCCAGAATGAAAGAAAAGCAACAACAGCTACGATGTGCAGCCAACTAGAATACAATCTTTAGAGACACCAGAAAAGTCCCAACCAGCAATTAGCTAGCAATAAGGATGGAGTATACACTTGAGGTAGGAACAGCAGTACCCTGACTAACCTGCTGAACAACAACTGTGGCAAGCCTATTATAGCAATTAACCTCTCAACAAAAATTGAGATGTATGCTAAGGACGATGGAAACCGGACTATACTTCTAATTGAAGCATAGAAGATGAGACAAAACGTATCTCACCCTATTGTCACACAAAAGTGAGAGGATCAGATGCAAACTGTTAGAACTATTTTAAACGAACTGGATTCAAGATGAGTTAGGCTACTTACTCAGGGTAAGTTTTGTGTCAGAAGGTGTGGTAATTCACTCATTTTAAATTGGCTCGAGCACCGTCGGCTAGTAACACAAATGATACATAGTATTGTGTTTAGATGCTATTGGGTCAGTCATGACTATATACCACTTTGCAGTGTTTCAGGAACTTCCAGCAGAATTACCACTCAGACTAAATTTATTCTGGCTGAACGAGATGAGATGCAAACCGAAAAATGCAAGAGTGTATTCACAAGTGGAAATCACTTGTACAAGTAGTATTTAATGGCAAACTATGTTTACTGTAATTTCGCCTTGTCTCACCATTACATGCCAATATGTCATACTCAGCCGTCAAAATCAGTTGTGTTTTGTTGCAGTGATCCAAAATGTGTTTGTTTATATATTTTTTGCACTTCTTGCGGCTTGTCTATTTCATTTCACCAGCTGATACATCTTGAACATCCACATCTATCTCCCAATTTCCTACGAACCTGTGGTTATTTTACGGGGAATTAACTACTACTTAATTATCAATTTACTGTAATCCTTTTTCTGTCTAGTGGTCATGCGTGGATCAGTGGTCAGCTTGCTAGACTGTGAATTTGAGACTCCTTAGATTTCGTTCCGTTGCCACAAAATCATGCTGTACACTTTGAGCATTGGATGCATTATAAAAGTGACAGTCAAATGCCACCATTCGATTACACTATCCCAATAGATGGCGATGGGTAATGTTGACTAGCAGCTGTCTTCGGTTTAGTCTACCAGTTCAAAATGAGGGACAGCTAGAACAGATAGTGTAGCTCCCGCGAATATCTAAAATACACGAACTAACTAACTCAATCGAGAGTTTTCTTAGAGGAAGAAACATTTCAGCTAGCAAGTAAACTAATTTAAATACCCATGTGGATGTGAAAGAGCTGCTTGACAATTTCATAACTTAAATTAAAACTCAGAGAAATGTTTGTTTTAAACTGAAGCACAAAGCAACACAATGGGCTATCTGTGCTCTGCCCACCACAGGTATCGAAACCCGGATTCTAGCGTTGTAAGTCCGTAGACATACCGCTGTGCCACTGGGGGGGGAAGGTGGCTGCAAATATGTCATATTTTTGTTATATCTCTGCTACTAAGAGGTAATGAGAGCAAGAAAGTTTGCTGTGTTTGAGAATGTATTCCCACTTCAACACAGTTACAAACGAAAAAATTATGTATTGGAGAAATTCCTTCCAGCTGAGACCTTACGCGTATAATTTTTATGCGCTGAATCCTGTAACTAAATCAATCAGCTCATGAAGTGCGTGGTCTTATTGTTCGTGATTTCACGGCGAAATACTGCACCCTTGCATCAGTTAACAATAATCCCAATCACAAAGGCTGTGCTTAAACCTAACTAAAATTATGTAAGACAAAATAAGTACTTTCATGAAAATGGAAAACAAGAGTGTAATTCTTATACAGAACACAATACATAATATAAAATTAATAGTTTACTCTTTGATGTACAGGACCCTGGGAGCTGCCTGTATTTCGTGTATCATGATGAGGTAGTTATTATAAATTGCTTCTGCTATAAGAGTGAAAGAGAGCAAGTCAAAATTTTACTTAAAGATGCACAAACCACTAAAGACTTGAAAAAATAATATCGATAAGTTCGAAACAGAAATTATTACACTCTAGAAAAGTTTTTGAGTTACTTGAAATTTTAACGTCTATTGATAAAAGCATTATTCGGATTTCCACGCACCAATACTATAAGTATTTCAAAACAGTAAAATACAGTAAAGAAGTGCGTATGTTTTTCTTCTAGTAAAGCCACATCGGGCTATTTACTGTCTGTGTCCACCGAGGGGAATCGAGCCCCTGACTTTAGTATTGTAAATCTGTAAACTTACAGGTTTCCCAGTGGGGGGATCGTGAAGGGGGACTTCAAAGTAATAGTAAAAATGAAAACTCACCACAACGTTTTTAGAAATGTAGAAACTATATAATTCATTCAGATTTATGTTAATAAATTGACATTTATTTTTGAAGAAGATATACCTGTACTGCTTCATATTAGGTGAAAAGATATATTAAAAAATACTTATTAATTTTTACATTAATTCTTCTCCATGTACATAAAAGTAAAATTTTATGTTTTTCATGTTTTAAATTATCAAATTATTTGCACTCATCGAGTTATTCTAACGTTAACTTTTTTTTGACAAGTAAACAACGATAGGGTTACAAAACAGAATTACAACTACAATGTTTCATTGGTTAAACTCTGGCGAAATGTTGGTTTTAACACCAATTTATATTTTCAAGGGAGATTTTGGTTCGTTGTTTAGATTATGTACTAAAACTTTATTCAATATTCAAATCAAGATTTGTGTTAAGTTTAAATTTTCAATTGCCTTAGAAGTTTTCAACCTGTGAATCATTTTATGAGCGTGTGAATTGCTAAACAGAGAGAGAGATCAGAGAGCCAGCAGCACCCGCCTCCACAAAGGCTTTATTCGGCTCTTTGAAGTGAATTATAACTTTTACAATGCAATCACAACTGAAAGTAGGGAGCGTATCCAATGATATCTCGCCTCTAATATCGGACCTTTCTATACGCAGCCCGACTCGTTAATCAATAACTGAAACATTTTAATTAACCCCCTTTTCTAAAGTTTCGAAATGTTATTCTAATGTTTCAAACATAGGTTAAGTAACATTCAACCTACAAATATTATTCATCACAGATGTCGAAATATTGCAAAAAATGAAAGTTTGTACTGGTGAGCAGTTTCAGTATTTCATTTAATCATATATAACATGTGAAAAAGGTGTGTGTAATTTCTAAATAGAACTAGAAGCTAAGAATACAATGTTCTGCTCAAAATGTTTGAACATCTTTTGAACATGTGAAATGATCAATTTATCATGCTCTGTAATGGAAGTTGGTGAAAATACAGAGACACCCCAGACCCCCCAGTGACTCAGCGGTAAGTCAGGAACCTTTTAACGCTAAAGATCGGGTTTTGATACCCGCGGTGGGCAAAACAAAGATAACCCATTGTATAGCTTTGAGCTTAACAACAACAAAAAAGCAAAAACACACCAGATAAGTATATTAGTAGCGAAAGAAAATATAATGGGTGAAATACGTTATTTGTTATATAAGATTTAGATGGGAAAGGTTGGTTTTAGAGACTGTTAAAGGTGTGGAAAATTTGCTCCTTAGAATGGTAACTTTGCTTGGTCATGCGTGTGATCGACCGTGAAGTAAAAGTGTTAACAATAAACTTAATAACAGTTCAGAAGAAAGTATTGTTATAGCGTGACAAACCTTTAGTGTTCGCTTGTTCACATTGCGCAAAAGGGGAAGAAATAAACTTTGCTACATATTAACTGAGATTTAATTGCATCCAATATAATTATAAGCGAACGGGCTCTAATTTTGGAGTTGTTTTGAATGAAACTAAGATCCACAAACCACTATTACCTTTAACACGTTCGCTGCCATGTGCCTCACCGGTGCATCACAACCGATTTTTAGTTATGAACCGCGTGACACACTGGTGGCTCACATATTACAAGTGGCTTCAATGAGCTAATCAAATATAGTATAGTTACCCATATAAATATCAGACAGGTGGGTTAAGTAAGAAAAGAAAAGTATGGTTGGTACTAGGGTAGGAATTATTAATTCTACAGGTGGTAGTGAACGTGTTAAGAATGCTTGATCCGTCAGCACTTGTGAAGCAATGAAAGGTAGTAGATGAAAATCGCTATGTAGAAAGACAGGTAAACAATTTAACCAAGCACTACTAATTTCCATGTTTATAAGTGAAAATGTTCGTGGCTCAACGGAAAACATTCCGTGTCTATTAGACATGGAATATGTTCTATGAGACCACAACAACGCTGTCAGAAGGATGAATGATTATTGGTTAATATTTCAAAACGTAACGATTGATGAGCTTGATGACCAAGATGAACAAAGAAGCAAGCAACGAGACATGCTGTTACACCAGTAAGACATGTTTTGTTTCAGATTTGTTTTTCCTGAAGTTTTAGTGAATATGGTAAGTAAAAATTATTATAATACTATTTAGTTTTGTAACGAAAGCTTATAATTTTAATATGTTTAGCATTTAAACTATATAATTTTAACCTCCATGTAAGATTAATATGAATAAATATTCCTATTGTTATAAACAAATGTAATTTATAAGTCGTAGTCCTGAAATGCTTAAAAAGTTAGGACAATAACACTATAAATTAATAGTCACGTGGTCATGAGAAATAATTATAATGGTATTACAATAGTATTGCTAACCTAAAGTATCAATAAATTATTTTTATGGTAATGTTAGATCTGTAAATCTTGCCATTCTGTAAGTATTATTTCTTGGCACTTGTGTATAATGTTAAAGTAATAAATAACACACAACGTTAAAATGTGTACACAATTAAAACCATTTTAATTTAGGTCAATATATGACCACTTAAAAGTTGACTCTACATGTTTCGACGTTGCAACATCATCTTCACGAGTGAGTTGTAAGACATAATCGTGTCTTATATATATATATATATATTATTTTTTTGTTAAATAGGTCATATGGCCTATGTACAGGTTTGCAATTCCGGCGTGAACATTTTATAAAATGTCACCCCACATTTTTGCATACATATTCGCTGGACCTTCATCTCTATATAATAATACATGATATTTTATATATGTAAATATTTCCAAGGATTCTCGAATATTATTGGCTATAATACCTTTTGGTTGAGCTAATATTACAGCTTTTTTCCCCAATACCGTATATTGTGTTTCGTGTACATGTTATGCTATGGCTGAATTTCCTATTTTTTTATTTCTTACAAATCTTTTATAACATACAGTTTATGGAAAAAACAAACAAACAGGAATCTATAAAATTGAATGTGAATGTGGAAATATTTATATTGGACACACGCCCCCCCCCCCTCAGTGACACAGCGGTATATCTGCGGACTTACAACGCTAGAAACCGGGTTTCGATACCCGTGGTGGGCAGAGCACAGATAGACCATTGTGTAACTTTGTGCTTAACTTCAAACAAACCAAACCAACCAAATCCTCAATTTGATATTTAAAAAACCTTAGTATTTTCAGTTGCACAAGTGTAAAAAAGTAACTACAAATCAGCAAGTGTTTATAGACTAAACCATAACATTGTCTTGTATTTTGATTACATTGTCCAAGAATTTTATGGTGAGGTGTCATTTATCTGGTGTATTTGCAATAGCATTATTGGTGTTTCCAATTACAGCAAGAACAGGTTCAAAATATTTATTGTTAAATGAAAAAACATAAAAATTGGACAGTGGAGACTTAATTACCGTAAAACATGTATCGTGTTAAAGCATACTATTTCCTGTTATTGTTTATGGAAGCAATGATGTTAATATATCTGAACATCTTAACAAAATTATGTTGAGTATTTTCGAAATACGAAACAGATTACTAGTGGTGTTGACGAATCGATGTCAAGTTATATGATATGCTGACAGTCTGTGCTTTGTTGGTAGTTAATGGAATTAAAGTTGTGACATACAAATCTGTGTTTTGTTTGAACAAATATGAGTTTAAATAAACATTTACAGTAATATTTGGTTTGTATTTATTGAAGATATTTAATAAAACTTTAGAGTTTAAAAATTATTTTGATGGAATTCAACACTTTTAAGTGCACACTGTTCGAAATGTACTGCATTCATTTGGATATTAATAACAATATTTTGTTAAAGTTCAGTTCATGAGTGTTGTATTTTTATGATTTTTATGATCGAAAATTATCATATTACGTTTTCTTTGTAGAAATACTTATTTCAAAACTGATTTCATTTACTGATCAGATTTTTATCTTGCAACACATATCAAGGAATGGCTGACAAAATAATCTGTGATTTTCCTTATTAATGTCGATTGTGAGACAACAGCACAACTTCACCGAAGCTATTTGTAATGCATCATCGTCTGCATTCAAATTTCATTAACACTTAGCTTCTTTGCGTTATGAAAAACTGTTGCAAAGGACTTAGAACACATTCAGCTTTGAACTGTCATCTTACTCGGAACAGTGTTATTAAACAACTGAGTTCTTGTGTTTTCGACTTAAAACGCATTTGCTGTTCTTTTAAGTATCCTGAGCAAATCTGCCAGCAAGTATGTCAGGGTATTGATAGCAACTTGGTCATCTAAAAAAGAACATGAAAGACCGAGAAGACAAAATCTGTTTCTCAAATGTAAGAAGGCGTATTCAAAAGTATATCATAATTTACATCTCATGTTTAAACCTTCTACAGAGATGAAAGTTTTAATCAAGTAAATATATATTTCTATTGAATGTTTAACGTCAAGTATGAATGATTAATCAGTGCCTTTTGTTGATAAACCAGACAATGTAATCCCAAGTTCTAATGAAGTGTTCATACAAAAATATTAGTTTTAATTATGTACAATACAGTACAATGTTACTCTGTTTTCTTTAACACTTGAATGTAAATATTTAGTATCAACTGTTGACCTTGTAACCGACGAGCAAAAAAATAAACACAAAGTACTTGAAAGGTGATATTAAAAAAACAACAGAAAAAATTTAAGAATTGATTGTTTCGCCATAAGAATTTAATGAATATTTAACACAATTTTCAAAATGTAATAAACGGAATAAATTAATTTCCAGTTGGAGGACCTTTAAGAATTGACCATATTAGAGAAAAGGTGTATAAAAGAACTTTGATTTTGTTGAGCTTTTGGTTTTGGTGGAAAAAAGGAGTTGTAAATTATTATCATTTCGTACTTATTATACAAACCCTTAAGATATTACTTAAAAATCCATTACAAGCACTAGTATCATGGTCCCAAATAAAGTAAGGTTCATTTACTTTAAAATAATATATTAAAATAAGTCACACATATATATAAATGTTCGTTACACCGTTGGTTATCACAGTTGTATCTAGAGCTTTAAATAACTGTCTCATCAAATTCACATAGTCTGGTTCAGTTACTTTAAAACACAATTTGACAAGACGAATTATTCTTCTCTACTCTCTTATTACAATACTGTCTGTGATAATTTCACTTTAAAATCACCACTATAACTGTAAGTTACCATAGTTGTATCCATAGCTTTAAACTATTGTCTTTTTTTTCGTAACATCTCACACAGGCTGGTTCAGTTACTTTAGAACACAATTTGACAAGACGAATTATTCTTCTCTACTCTCTTATTACAATACTGTCTGTGATAATTTCACTTTAAAATCACCACTATAACTGCTAGTTACCATACTTGTATCCAGAGCTTTAAACTATTGTCTTTTTTTCGTAACATCTCACACAGGCTGGTTCAGTTACTTTAGAACACAATTTGATAGGATAAATTATTCTTCCCTACTCTGTTATTACAACACAATCTTTGATAATTTTTCCTTAAAAATCGCCACTATACGCTCTTTATGGCAAATCTCACCATCACGCAGTCTAGATCTATCTTACTATCGAAATAAATTTTCTACGCGTATTTATACCCCAACAAACTAGATATTATGATGCAATAATACTCAATTAAAACAACGAAAAAAACTCAGAAGGTTTTAGTATCATGACACAATAATATAAGAATCACCAGTTCATAACTAATGAACTACACAACGTATGATCCATAAACAGTTACGCAAACAAACTTGCGATAAATTACCGCTTCTAAAAATAACTAAATTTTACACTCTCTCTAAACTTGAACTGAAACAATCATGCATATCATATCCAAAAGTACCTTTGAAGTAACATTAAACTCCTAAGAACTTTCATAAGATTATTCCTGTGTATTTATTGCTTGTTAACATCAATCCGGAGTATATTGCCTAAATATTTACAATATGAAATCAGTGCTGTTAAATAAAGAAGTAGAATTCAAACATTTTGGTCAAAATAAAAGTGTTTGAAAAATTCAATAATGATTTTATGCAAATAAAAATGGAATTGTTTTGATATCTGATAAAGTTATGAAAGGCCGTGTATTTTGTATTCTTAGTGAAAATCTGGAAAATCACATAATAGATGAATTTTTAGAAAAGTTCACTCCATTCTTGTACATATTTAGTCTTACCTGTATTTAAAGCACCGTTGATTTTCGTGCTATGAAAGAACAGAAATAGGACTTCTAAGAATTATCAATCTTTTGTAACTGCATTGAATTATCAGGTAGAAGATTAAGAAGGATTAAGTTTGATTTACAATTCAACACTTTAAGTTACTTTTGTATGTGTTATACCTGTGTCAGCTTGGACTTCCAACACGTTTTTACTCGTTTTACTTAAATATATTGTGAAATATAATCTGGAATTATTTTGCAAGTACTTTACAATCTGTTGAATAGCATAATTTTTCATTCACTTAGAAAGGTTGTTATTGTGCTGAAAAACCATGTGCTGTAAACCCTCAGTTGTATATACAGCATTATTTTCTCTGTGTGTGCTCCATTCTTGGTGGTTGACCATATAAGATATTTGAATGCTCTTAATCAAAACCAACAATTTTCAGTTACTATTCAGAAAGTATTTTTAAAATGGATCCTTTAATAAGACATTGGACAATGAGAATGGAAAGTAATTGCTCCTATTGAACGTGGTTTTATTAACTTAACTGAAACCTTCGATATAAAATGCCAGTAATTGTAACCATATAAAACTATTGGACAGAGGTTTGGTACAATTACTTCAGTTACGTACAGCGACAGAGTAACTTTTTATCATGAGCTTTATAATGACAACATAAAACAAGCAGTTAATGTACCCAGAGTTAAGTATAGATTCATCTAATACAGCATTTGTAACTGACAATCTAACATATTTGGGCATTAACTACAGGAAAGATGTTTCTTTTATTGTAACTTAATAAGAAAATAAAGTATTTTTTATATCATGAAGAAATCCTAATGTGCTTGAATTTGAAAAGGAATATGTTTCGTAGTTAAGGAATATTAATCTAAGGTATTCAGTAAAGCTGAAAGTTTTCACATAGTCTCCGAAACACATGAACTTAAATATGAATTTATAACCTCTTTAGCATTATTTGGATTTTTCCTTAATAGGTATGTATTAGTTGTTCTTAAATATGCTATTTTAGATAAGGAACTATGCTCCAAAGCTTTTCTCTAATAGTTTTATTTTCTACTTTTATTTATTTCCTTGAGAAGATGAGTAAACTGATAAGAATAACACTTCTTTCCATAAAGCCCACTGAATGGAAAACAATAGTCATTAGCCAAGCCATAAAGAAGTCTTATTGTGCTATCCCACAATACAGACTACCTAAGTCAATGTCATTCCCATTGGGAATAAATAAATTGATGTGATAGGATAATGAGGAGTTTGTAGAAAAGGGTATTTAGAGCACAATTAAATACAATTTTAATAAATAAAGTATAAACATTGCAAGTCAAGAATAAACTTAGTTGCTATTACTTTAATGTTAGGAGTACAAGGAACAAAATAAATGAGTTCTGGGCTGTGATTGAAATATAAAACAATGGTATAATGGGAATTACGGAAATCTGATTAGATTTGGAGAACGTTGAAAACAGGAATAATTTTGAAATTCCAAGTTATAACAAATTTGATAGTGATAAAAATTTTAAGAGAGGGGATAAAAATGGTAGTCAAGAGGTTGAATCTGTATGGGTTACAATGAGAGGTTAAAGGATAATATGTTTTTAGTTAGTAATTGTTGTACTCATCTGATCAGAAAGAAACTTTCCAATAGCTCAATCGTAGTTCTGTTATATTATAAAACTAGAAATCGGGTTTCGATACCCATAATGGGCACAGTACAGATATCTTATTATGTAGCTTTATGTTTAACAACAAACAAGCAGAAAGAAAAAGTAGTTGAGAAAATGCATAGTGAGAACAAGGTTGGTAATAATAAGAATACAGATTTACTAATCATTTTACTTTAATTTTAAACACATTTGTTGGGATTATATTGAGTCCAATAGCTAAGGAGAGTGATATCATGAAGTGATTCAAAATGATTTTTTATACCAAACTGCAAGAGAACCAAACAGGATACTCTAGGTTAAATTGACTGTTAACCACTATTGAGGATATGAATAGAAGAGTTGAAGTAGAAAAATATTTGGGACTGAGTGATCATTTCATTATTACTTTCAATGTTTTGCTACTCGCTGAGATAAAAATTCATGAAATTTTAGTTTATAATTATTGTAAAGTCAATTATGAGGCCATATGACAAGATTTATCTTTAGTCAATTAGAACAATAAGTTACAAGTGACGTAAGATATATTTGGGAAATATTTAAAAGCAAATGTCTTTTAATTCAAAACAAGCGTGTTCCTGAAAAGAGAACCAAACTGGCTTAGAAAGGACATAAAAGCAAAAATTCAGAGAGAAAAACGATAATATTAAAAAGTTTAAATTTACAGAAAAGATGGAAGACTTACAGAACTATTGGAAGACTAGAGATTTGGTTAAATTAAGTTAGAAAAACAAGAAGTGCTTATACGAAACAACTGGCTTATAATGTCAAACTAAGAGCGAGGATTTTAAAGCATGTAAAAAGTAAGCAAACTAGTGGGATCAGAATTAAGCCATTAAAGGTTTGTTTGTTTGAAATTAACCCTAAAGTTACACAATGGGCTATTTGTGCTCTGCCCACCACGGGTATCGAAACCCGGTTTCTAGCGTTGTAAGTCCAGAGACACCATTAAAGGACGCTGAGAGCAAGGTTATTGTTAAAGACTAGGAGTTGGTTGAGGGTTTATATGTTGTCTTCTCTGCTGATTTTACAAGCGAAGATGTTAGCAATATTATTTCCTGAGCATTCTATGGGAAGTATGGGAATTAACGTGATTCTTGTAGATGTTAATCCCTTTTTGATAAGTAGGAAGAATGAGAGACTAAAAGTTGTTACTTATAAAGAAACTTGGTCAGATCAAAAGGATCTTAATTGAGGTAAAAGTTTCGAAACATTAGCTTCTCTCTTTCATTTTAGGTGGGTGTATGGAGAGTGGGCAGTTGCCTGAAGATTGAAGAGTTGCTGATGTTACTCTTATTTCTAAAGGGGAAGATAAGACTCTTATAAGCCAGATAGGTTTACTTCATCAACGGGAAAGATTACACATGATCAGATAAAAGAAGCTTTATAAAATAATTTGTTGAAATTTGACATTATAAAGGAAAGCCAACATAATTTAACAAATGGAAATATTGACTGGCTAATCTGTTCTGTGTTTTTCTTTGGGGAGGGGGGTATGACATTTGTTATCTGGACGAGGAAAGGGTGTAGAGATTTGATGTACTTAGAGTTTCCAAAAGCTTTTAAGGTACCACGCGAAAGATTAACTAAGAAAATCACATTGGTATGGCTGTAGAAAGGATAATTAATTGAATTGTAGGGTAGTTGAATAGAAGAAAGCGATAGTCTAAGCCCTTATTGATAGTGGAGGACCTCGGGGGTCAATGCTCTGGGGTCTTATTTACATTAATGATGTTGATATGGATATAATTACTAAATTAGTAAGGTTTGCCGATAACATTAAAATCTTGGGCATTTCTACTTGAAGCGAGGATACTGTGGTATTACAGAACAACTTGTATAAATTGACAAGTTGAATAAATATTTGGCAAATTATCATAGTAGATTAGAGGTTATTGATTATTGTTATCAAAATTTTGGGATCACACTTTTAATATAAATGGGAACCAATGCAAAAGCCATGACTGAACAAATATATCCTGGCATAGTGGTGGATTTTCACTGAAGCCTCTGATTTCTTTGTGTTGTATTCTGAATATATAAGGTAAGAGGACACACGTTTAAGATTTTAAAACGTCTCTCCAGGTTCCAGTCAAGACAGTTTTATTTTTCTAAAGAAGTGATTGACTTATAGAAGGTAAGCACTTTACCACAGTTCAAGACGGGATTCGATAATTTCTTGAAAAGTAAATGGCGAGTTTAAACTTGTACTTTTCCCATGAGTGGGTGTATAGGACAGCTTTGAAGGACTATATTGACCTTTTTGTCTATACATTTTGCTATGGAAATTTAAGAGAGATAAACCTCCAACTCATATTAGCTTGTACACGTCATTGGCTACTTTCCACTCCTTGTGGAGGGATGATACAGAGCAATATCATAATTTTCAATAGAATGCCTGATGTGTTACATAAAATTTTAGATTAATGCAAATTAACAACCTAATATATCCTGTTTACGAGGACGCAAATTACTTACTAGCAGAATACTTACACGTATAATTGTATATTTTTAAAAATATAACTAAACGTAGGTAGCAAAGAGATATTATTATCTAGTTATAGAAATATGTAGTGCAGGTGTTTTTCAACTGAGACACCTGCAAGAAAAAAGAATCAAATTGCCTTATAGTTAAATTTACTTACTTCCCAGGAAAATAAATCTGTAACGTTAAAAGGAATAAAAAAAACATTGCAATGAAAATTAAATTGAGTGAAATAGCATTTTATGTCTCCTAGAGAATCTTCACTTTTAAAAGAATTAAAGCCATTACAATTAAACAGTTTTTCTAAAACATATCTGCTAGAAAGATTTATTTCGACAATAACACAACTGTAAAAACTTAAACTAAGTAGAATATGAAGGTTTTGCACAGAAAGTTTGAATCACTAAATACTATTCACACATTGAAATATCAAACTGCTACTATCAACTATTTTGCTCTAGCCAGTGCAGGAAGCATAAGAGAGCAGAACAAACAAAGTAATTAGAGACTGCATTAGAAAGTTGAATCTGGCAAAGATACCAGACAGGAATCTAAGAATGATCAGAAATCTTAGTATATATTTGTTACTTAAATTTTAGAGCTACAATGTGATATTTTTATCAGTAAATTAATATGGTTAGTATCAACACGTTGGGTAATTATTTTTCCTTAATCTCTTTTTAAATTGTTAGTTAACAAAACAGTTTATCTCAAAACCTTTTCTCTTGATGTCGAAAATACCCCAGAGCAATATAACTGAGTCAGTCATAATATTTTATATCAAAAATAATTTTTACACAGTAAAGAAAGTTAAATAATAATTAAATAATCTTGACAAAACTTACTGTAACTACTTAATTTTGAATGTTGACCAATAATATAGGTATTTGAAAAAAAAAGAAAACAAATAATGGCTGTAGCAAGAGCCCAGAAATTAAATAAAAAGCTGAACATACTGATTCTCTGTTACTTATTTCTTTTTAACTCCTTCAATGTTCTCACACTTTGAAAACTAAATGTGCAGGATGTCGAAGGATTCCAAGATACAATAGAATTGACTAAAACTGTAAGGGAAATAGAGATGACAGATGAATCAGTTAATAAAATATATAATTATAAAATATTTCAGTTAATTTAATACTTTGAACATTAGGCTTTTCATAAAGTACAAATAGAAACTGCAACTTCTATGATCAAACTAATTCGTATAACAGAGAAGATAATCAGCTCGATGTAAGCTATCTATGTAATAAATGGAACTCTCTGTTCGTAACACTCCCTTTCTTGGTAACGCTCCACTGTGTGTTGGTAATGTTCAAATTGGTTCATTGGTTTGTCTCAAGAAGAAGTCTAAAATTCGAATCCCAGTCGAGTGGGATTTTTTATAACTTTTTAAAAGTATTAACTCATCATGTTTAGAGCAAGATATTATAATATTAGGAAAAACAGCAATAACGTGGCAGTTTACATTTGTTAGATATACACGATTGTTTAAGTTTAATGCTAGAGTTATGATTTAGATAGTTTAAGTATATTGTGAGTGTTAAATACAGTCATTTTTACAAACAATAATTTATTGCAGATTTGTTTACGTAATTGTACAAATCATATGTTGTGAATTGGCATTTGTTGTACTATTGCAACATGTTACTAGAATCTTCTAAGTTTTCTCGTTGTTTTAAATAAGTATTATTGCATCATAACATCTCATAGTATGTGGAATGTTCTAGGCCTTGATGATGCTATAAATATGTATCCAAACTGTAATTGAGTTAGATAAATAGATAGAGAGAGTTAGATCTAGACTGCGTGATTGTGAGTTTAGCCATAAAGAGCATATAGTGTCGATTTTTAAAATGAAATGATCACACATTGTATTGTAATAAAAGAGTAGAGAATAATAATTCGTCTTTCCAAATTGTGTTCTAAAGTTATTGAACTAGACTTTGGGGAATTTGAAAAAAATGGACAGTTATTTAAAGCATAAATTCACAACCATTTGCAAATTGAACTGTTTAGCAGTTATCAGATCTAATCACAAAAGCACATCTTGAGGTTCGGCCTGAGGCATATCACTAAGCAGCGAAGTTTTCTGATTATCAGTTCCTAACCATTTTTCTTCAGAAGCAGAAATTTAATATCCTAATATGCTTTGATATAATTAAAAATGTTTAAAATCTATATTCTCTGTTAGCAGAAACAAAGAACTTGTTTGTTTGTTTGTTTGAAGTTAAGCACAAAGCTACACAATAGGCTATTTGTGCTCTGCCCATCGCGGGTATCGAAACCCGGTTTCTAACGTTGTAAGTCTGCAGACATACCGCTGTGCCACTGGGGGGGGGGCTACAGCTTTCTCTAAAACCGTCCAAGTGATATCCAAGAGAACATATATTTTCTACCTAAATTACAGTAAGTAAATAACGAGCTCCTTCTGATTATTTAACCACGATCATGGACGAAATATTTTTTTTTTACCAAATCAGAAAAAAGAAAACATTTCAAAAGCTTTAGTTATTATGTTATAGTTTAAATTAATAAATCAAAGTATTGTCCAAAGGTTTGTTTGTTTGAAATTTAGCACAAAGCTACACAATGGGCTATCTGTGCTCTGCCC